CACAAGTAGATAAAAATGTAATAAATATAAGATATACGATAATGATTCTCTTTATAGACTAAATTTTTGGTGGAATTAAAGGGTTTGTTTTTTTTTTTTTGCGAGGTGAAGTTTGGAATAACTAAAACACATTTGACATGAACGCGTTTGCAATACATAGAAGAAACAAAGAAACAATCGAGTTTAATATAAAGACGATTACTAACAATAGTGCATTGGAAATTAAGTAACATGTTTTTACTGTATTATTTGAATGAATACGAACTATCTAATTTATAGTAAGTAATCATTATATATAAATTAAAGAAAATTAAATTAAAGCCAACATTTTAGAATCACAAAAGATAAATATTAATTAGCACAAAAATAAACAGATGTCATGAACAAGAATTTGAACAATAATAGTAAAACAAAAATTTCAAATGAAATTACAATTCACATTTAAGATATTTTGTACAAAATTTATGATAGCAATTTTTAAAAAATATGTTTACTGATCAAAATAAATGTTAAAATTAATTTTAACTAAACTTCATATTACATGTAAAATCAATAACTATTCTAATTACAAATTTAATTTATAAAAATGATTTTGTCAAAGTATAATATTTCTTCTTTTATATAATAGTGTTTTTTTTTATATAGATTCAATGAATTTTAATTTATTATTGAATGGAAATTACGTAAATATCTCATTGTAAAAAAAACCGAAATCAGTATTAGACAACTGTGCTGATTATAAAGAAGATTAAGAAAAATAAATTTTTTTTCTTTTTGATAATTAATACAATTTTTTGAAAACATATAGGCACTTGCCTTATATTATGCCAAACGAATGATCAGTATTAACACAGTGTAAGCTGATATTTTATGATAAAGTACAATGTTCAAATATGTTCATTTTGAAAAAATTCTACGAATGATCACGCAGTTTCAATCTTTCTTTCATGTCATTAATCACAATGTATTTTTAATGATAGTGTACCATCGTATAAAGTACACAAATTTATTATTCATTTCTTTCTTTTTTCTTTTTTTCTTTTTTAATGTTTATCACTTTTAATAAAAATAATTCTAAGTACCTTGTATAAAATATAATAACCAATGTACGTACATATGTATACATATATATATAATATATATACGTATATATATAATTTTTGTTATGAAAAAAAAAAAACAAATGAAATTCATACCTCATCTCATAATACAGAAAACACACTATCGTTAGAAATTCACTGCATTCCCGCGTATCCCGGAGCAATAATCAAAGAGATTATTCAACCTTTTTGTATCTGTACAAAAATATATGTGTGTACACATAATGTCTTATCGATTCTTTGACTTACAGTCTGTTTTAAATGAAAACGTAACATGTTAATCGTTGATGATGCATATTAGTTTAATATTTTTTTATCATTATAATTAAAATGAATTCTGTTAACAGAATTAATAAAACAATCATTATTTTTTAAGCTATAAACACTAATAATAGAACATGAGCATTCGTTAACAAAATTCATATCATGCTAACACCGACGATACACATGGTATGTTTCGATATGCAAATATTTAAAACACACTGTATATGTCGTGTCATCCCATACATAACATACATTTATAGTTTTAGTTTATGTAAAAACTCAATGATTAATTATCTGGTTTTTTTTTTTAACAAGTAATTATACAAAATTTCTTGTACCGCTAGCACAATTTCATCGATAAACTCACAATAAAGATATCTTTTTTACACAAAGATATCTACATAAAGATATCTTTTTTTTCTTGATATATCGTGCGAAAAATCATATTAATAGAGAGAGACACGCATATAACAT